TCATCCCCATCAAGTTGTATTCACATTCGCTGTGATTCTGGCTTCTTTCAGGAACAGCCTCCCGCAAAACACGGGCAGGAAACTCATCAACTTCCTGCAGAGACAGCGCAGAAACGCACCTCAAAACCCTTGTCTGTGCTAGGTAAGAATTTAATGGGGGGAAAGGGGAGGGAGGCAGGAGGTGAGCACTGGAGAATCTGGGTGCATGCGTGTGCATATGAAGTGGGTGGGGGTGTGCGTGTGTGTTTCTGTACTGAGTTATTATATGATCACTTGGAAGCCATTTGGAAAAGACAAATCTGAAGGTCTCTCTCCCCCTGAGAATCTAGCTCGGCTTGGAAGCCCATGTATGAGTGGGAACAGAGGGGGAGGCTCCATGGGAATGCGCTCCATCACCTGCCATCCCAGAAACTCTGAAAGCCCAACAAGTGAGGCTCAGGTGCCCTGGCCACTTTGGTGAGTGAGCTGACGGGCTCCCCGACAGCACCCACCACTGGGCTTGCTTCAGTCTCTCATTCAGCCAACGTCGTGCCTACCGTGGACACCACTAGGGACATAGGAGGCCTGTTCCCGGACGCCCGAGTAACAAGCACGGGGTCAGAGGTACTAAGTGCGTGCAGGAAACGAAGCCGGGCAGCCGGGGACAGGAAGACCAGGCTTGGAGGAGGGCTAGCGATCAGGTCTGCCGGCTTGCCAGCCGCAGGCACCCCTGGCCCGGGCTCCCGGGCACAGCTGGGCCATCAGGGAGGAAAGGACATGCCTGTTCTCAAACCTGCTGGGGCAGAGACCAGCCCCTCTTCACACACATCCCCTTCCCTCCGGGCGGAGCGGGACTGCGTCTCTCGGTGTCCCTGGCCATCAGGCATGGCCACGTCCAAGCCCAGCCCCTCCTGCAGTCCTCATTCTGGGGCCCCAAGTGACCGTCGTAGAGAGCCATCCCTCCCACAAACGACCTTCACAGGAGCAAGAACTAACCTCTATTGTGTTCGGTTCTGAAATTTTGGGAACGCCCTTTACGGCAGTCAGCTAACACTAACCCACACCGTGTCCTTCTGCTCACAGCCTGTTTTGGAGTGGCTGTGCCCGCCACGGAGTGGCCGTCCCCACGGGGCTGCTGGACACGGCAGGGTGTCTGAGGAGCCGAGGCGAGGCCACACGTGCCCCCAGCACAGCCACGGGCAGACCAGGAAACAGGAGAGGCTACCCCTCGGCGGGGCTGAGCCGCGGCTTCCCGTGTTCCCGCCTGACACCTAGGGCCGTGGGCCCGGTCCCCAAGTTCCCCGTCAGACATGTCAGCGACAGCGGGGTCTTCAGGACCCTGCATCTACAGGGGCTCCGGAGCTCCTGCCCGTTGCTGATTCCAAGCCTGGTTGGGGAGGGTTGTGCTAACTGGGGAGGGGCGAGTCTCCCTGCCTTGGAGCTGTTCAGCTGGGAATGCAGCTTGGCCCCCACAGGAGCACGCGGCCGTCCCTGGCCCGGCTGGTCGGGGGGACTTCGCTCCTGTGTTGGCCGTGCCTCCAGCTCCCACCAGTCAGCCCCTGAGACCACGGCAGCTCCCTGGGGCAGAAATACAGAAGTGTCTTTTTCTCCATCATCCAGCAGGAGACCGACCCTGGGAGTCCTCGCGGGCCAGGGGCTCTGCCTACAACGGCTTTCTCTCCTGGTACTTTTCACAGGCCTGTGTGCAGATGGGCACAGAGGAGGGAAATTCCGTGTATCCGTACCAGGATCACCAACCCGAGAAACTCTGAAAGCCGGCAGCAGAGTATTCCAGGGCTAGGATGCCCGCCCAAGGTCACGTGTGTACCCCGCGGGGTGTGAGCAGACGAGAACCCTCGGCATTCAAGCTCCCACACTCACTGTAACGTTCCTGCCGGGGAGGTTGACGGGGGCAGACCTTCCCAGAGGTTGGGAAATGAGCTGGATCCGCACTTGTCCAAACTAGGGCCCACGGGCCACATCTGGCCCACTGCTTGTTCTTTTTTTTTTTTTTTTTTAAAGATTTTATTCATTTATTTGAGAGAGAGAGAGAGAGCACATGAGAAGGGGGAGGGTCAGAGGGAGAGGCAGACTCCCCGCTGAGCAGGGAGCCCGATGCGGGACTCGATCCTGGGACTCCAGGATCGTGACCCGAGCCAAAGGCAGTTGCTCAACCAACTGAGCCACCCAGGCGCCCCCACTGCTTGTTCTTGTAAATAAAGTTTTATGGGAACACAGACACAGCGATAGTTTATGTATTGCCGATGGCAGCTTTCACACTACAAAGAGTTGAGTATTTGCAACTGCGGCTGGTTGGCTGCAGAGCCTGAAATATTGACTATCTGGCCCTTTACAGAAAGAGTCTGCCGGCCCCCGAGCTACAGCAACAATTTTCTACTAAGCTGATTTCTGACTAGTACGAGCACAAGCCTTTGAATAAGACTGACGCACACAATGAGAAACTTGCTGCCTTTCCAATTTGCTTTTGATCCTGATGACATTCAAGAGGAAGCCCCTGGTCCCAGCACATCTTGAGAACACTCTGACACTTGCTCACGGCTTCCCTTGTAAACAAGTTCCGGGCAGCCCTCAGGCTCTGAGTGCGGACAATACACAGCCAGACATCAACCGCTTTCTTCACCTTATGCTTGTCTTACAATCGGCTTCTATCGTCACCAACAATACCAGCTTTCCAACTGTGAGCTAATACAAAGTCGCCTCTTAAAATAAACGTATTTATATTAAGGGTGAATCACTGATGGGAAGTGTTCGGTAGATAATAAGTGCTGGTCAGATATGACCAGGGCCCCGAGGGTGGTGGGTGCGCAGGGGGGCACAGAACCCTCATCCTGTCAGTGGCTTGGGGTTTGGTGGATGGACCCTGAACATGGGATTCTTGGGAATCTGCTTAGGTTGGGGTTCATGCTTCGAGTACTTTGTTCAAGTCTGTGCCGTGTCACAGCGAACCTCCAACCAGTCAGGCCGAGCAAGGGGCAGGCGGTGCTCTGGGAAGCTCCCCATCTTGTGGGGGGGGGCGCGCTGAGGTCGGAGGTCAGAGTCTCCGAGTCTGAGGCTCTCGGATGCTTCTGCCACCTGAGGTCGGGGGTTTCCTCAGCAAGCAGTTCTGTGACCCCTGTTGGGCGCCTCCATTGAACTGCATTGGGACACCAGCTGCTGGAGAGCATGTCCATCCACGGGGGAGGGCTCGGTCCCACAAGGCAGCTCCCACTCAGACGCCCATGGAAAGTCCATGTTGTCACCGCACTCCCGACCGACGGGCTGTAGATGGGAGGTTCCCACGACCCTCTGGTAGAGTTCAGTCATTGCCAGAGCAGCCCAGAAAATGTTTACTCCATAGATTATCAGTTTGTTATAAAGAACATAACTGAACAGCCGGATGGGAAAGATGCACAGGATGAGGAGCGGGGAAGGGACGCAGAGCTTCCATGCCCCCCTCCCACCTTCCCACCCCCTCAGCACGCCAGCCTCCCTGCACCTCCCCAGGTCCGCCAACCTAAAGCTCCCCAAACCTTGGCCTTTGGGGTTTTATGGAAGCTCCATCACTGAGACATGATTGATTAAATCATCGGTCACCGGCCACTGGTGACTGACTCAACCTCCAGGCCCTCCCTCGACCCAGCGTTTCGGGGGTGGGGCTGAACGTGGGCGCCTCTAATCCTAGGGTTGGTTCCCCCAGCAAGGGCCATCAGCCCCCTTCCTCAGGAGACTTTCCAAAAGTCACATCATTAACATAACAAAAGACTGCTCCAGGGCTCTCAGCTCTCCGATAATTCCAAAGGTTTTAGGGGCTGGGCTTGGGGAGGAAGACCAACACAGGCTTCCCCGTTGCCAATCACCATATCCCACGCTCGGCCTGCTACCGGCGCGGGTTTATGGCCCGTCACCGTGGGCGTGGTGTGTGTGGTGGGGCGTCTGACGTGGGTCCCCCTGCTTTGTTCTGCTCCATCTCTGCAGTTTATTTTATTATATTATTATTATTTTTAAAAATCTTATTTATTTATTTGAGGGAGAATGTGAGAGAGAGAGATAACGAGCGGGGGGAGCAGCAGAGAGAGAGGGAGAAGCAGACTCCGCACAGAGCAGGGAGCCCGATGTGGGGCTCGATCCCAGGACCCTGGGATCATGACCTGAGCCGAAGGTAGAGGCTTAGTGATTGAGCCACCCAGGCGCCCCTGGTCTCTGCATTTTAAACACACACCGGGCTTCCAGCTTGAGCAGAGTGGGAAACAAAACAGGCTAATCAGTCTGAGGAAGGGAAGCAGCCCCTTAAGGATGCCCCACTGACCCTCATTTCCACCAAGCAGGGTGAGATGGTCTACAGTGCATGGGGGACTACTTAATGGGATTCTCACCATCATTCTGTCAAATTATTGTCCAGATTGGGTTGCAATTTTATTCAAAAGGAAGAAGGAAATGCTAGTTGATGGCCTGCATTATTGAAATAACAAATTTGTAAAATGAATCCTTCCCTTCTCCGGCGGAAAGCACCTTGTGGTGGGGACTGGGAGCAGGTGCACTGAAGGAGCCCACCAGAGGAGCTCATCCGAGGGCCGCCAAAGTGCCGGATTTGGGGTCATAGCATCAGTCCCAAGATTTCCGGCTTCTCGCCAATATCCTCATCCACCATCACAGACACACTGTCTTTCCACCCTCCAGAGTCTTAGTCATAGTTGGAAAAGAATGTGAGCAGAGAAAGGTGTCAGAGGTCAAAGGCCAGGCCCCAAGTCACCACCCTGCCCCGTTCTATCAGCACGGGCGAGATGACCCATGTCCAGCAGGACCAGCTTCCCTAGAGGACGGGACTGCTGTTCTGATCTTTCTCTGTCTTGTGTCATCTCATTACTGAAAAGGTTTAGACGCCAAGTGCAGACCGTCCCTCGCTCTCCCTCCCTGACAAGCGCCCCCCCCTCCAAGCCCCACTGACTGACTTGCCAGATCCTGGAGGAGAGGGTGCACTGAGCCGAGACCCTCCTCAGCCAGCAGGAGGGGTCTCCACTTACCCGCACGAGCTGCTGTGGGAAGGGCCCGCGGGAATTTTCCGGCACGTTGATGGGTGGGATGACCCAGTCGCGTTTCTGTCTCCTCAGCCCACTGGCGTTCCGGTGCTGGGGCCACGGCAACAGCATGTCGCTGGGAGGCTGAGAGGCATCCAGAGCGGCGCTCTGCTTCCCTTTCTGCGGCGTTAGCCCGAAGCGGGGAGAGAAGAGCCAAAGAGGTCTGGTTAAGTTTCGCGCAGAGGAAAAGGCATCTGTTCAGAGAATCTGTTCTGTTCTCCATCAACAGAGAAAGACTGGATGATGCTTGGGGAAGCGGCTAAGTGTTAAGGAAAAAAATCTAGCAAGACACCCATGTCACAAAATGGATTGCTGAATTGCATGGTGGGGGAAAGAAACCGTAAAAACAGAAGAATACGTCATAGGGTGAACCAGAGCTTTTAAATCCCTGAAGAATGGGGGGGAAAAGTCACAAAGGAAAATGCATTTTAGTTTAAAACACTTATTTATGAAAACGTACCCTAAAAGCAGTTGATGAATTTGGCAAACATGATTTGCAACAAATCTGTCAAAGGGTTAGCAGTCTCACTATATAAAGAGTTCTTGCAAATCAATAAAAAAATAAATCTTTTTGTTAACAGGGAAAGGACCTGAATAGAAATTAACAGCAAAATAAAAATCAGTAGACTTATTAAAAATGTACACATCTCCCTGTAATCAAATAATGCAAACTGAAGTAATAAATCCTCTTTACCTATCAAACTGACAAGACTAAACAAATGGATCCTCAGGGCTGGGGAGTGTGTCGTGTTGTCAGGAGAAGTGACGGTGGAGGGTGCGGGACCTGGTGTTCAGCAAATATTTATGTGCATCCAAAGGTTCACTGACTCCGGGCAAGTTGCTTCATCTCTCTGAACTCCAGCTGCTTTTTTTTATAAACTAGGGCTGGTAATAACAGCACTAAATTCACAGGGTTGCTATGGCAGTTACACTGATGAGAGCCCCTGCCTATCAGGCAGCCACTGGGACTGGATGCTGATGGGGCCCAACACTGCTGGGTGCTGACCACAACCCTCGGCAAGCTGTGGGCCAGTGACCATCCAGACCCTCAAAAATCGTCCTCGATGTCAAGTCTACGTCAGTGAAAAAAACAAAAATGTCCTGGCTTTTGACCCAATAGCTCCACAGCTGTCCCAAAGAAACTATATGTAAATGAAAATCTCCCTATAAACACGTTCATTGCAGATGTTTTTATAATAATATTATGCATATATAAAATAATAAAAATATGAGGAAAAAACCTCTGGAGATCTGATAGCAGGAAATACTAGTTAAATGCATTATGCTGTGTTCATATCTTGGGAGATTACACAGTCACGGAAAGCTACTCTTTGAAGACTAGGATATGGAGAAATGTCCATAAAATAGTGGTAAGTGGAGAATGACACCAAAGTGTACACGTAACCAAATCTCCATTTTTTTTTTTTAAGGACAGAGAAAAGATTGGAAGGAAATACATCAAAATGTCAACTGTGGCTTTCTCTGATCACCAGTGAGCTTTACGCTATTTTATTTTACTTTATTCCTTTTACCTTTCTATATTTCTGAATGTTACAATGTATATGATTTTCTATAATTAAAGGAGCCAGCAGACCCCCATGGACAAGCACGGCAACTGTGTAGACTCCCCACAAACACAGACAGCACCTGCCTCGACCTCCACATACACGGATGGCGCCCCCGCAGACCCCCGGGGACACGCAGCACTTCAGAGCTTACATGGCAGAGAGAGCCCTGGATGGGGACAGCCCACGGCACCTGGCTACAGTCTACACCACTCCAGTCATGGCAGGTTCCACTCTCTGCCTGAGTTCCAGGTCCATCCAGCAAGATGGCCCCGGGTGGTCTTACCATTGCCCTCTGTGGTCAGAGAACCTTGCCCACTCCTTTTTGCAAAAGAGCTGCATAGAAATAAGTTAAAAACAGACAAAACTGCCTAAGTGATGAAAAAATAAAATCTCATATCCACCCCAAATGCCCGAATCAATGGGAAAACCCATCTGGACGAGCCCCACTGGAAGGAGAGAGCCCCGCTGGGACTTTCCCCCCAGGGCCCCAGCTGTCTCAGGGCCTTGAGCTCCTGCAGTCAGGTGTTTGAAAACCAAAAGCCTTTCCTAGGCCACCGCTGCCCTACATCAGAAGGGAGCCATGCAAGGTGCGCGTATCCCGTGGCAGATCCCCGCGCATACGCATATTCCCGTGGCCTGATGTCTACACAACGTGGCATGATACCAACTTCTGTTCAAGTCAAGCTAACAGGTGCTGTGACTCATCTTCAGGCTCTAACGATGACACATCGATGGGGTCACATCTCTAGTTTCCTCAGTGAGCTTCGCAGAACGACATTTAGGCCAGTCCTGGCTGCACACTGTCCCCTCACAGCCAGGGCACAGACAACCACCTTCCCCGGCTCCGTGAGTAGCTGATGCCTCGGGGCACTGAGCATTCCACATGGTCTCCGCCTAGACCCCCGCCCCCTCACTGATTCCGTAGGAAGTGTCCTCAACCCCACTTTACTAGGGAGGCAGGGGGGGAGCTCAGAGAGGCTAAGTAACTTCCGAAGGTCACACAGCTCAGGAGGCAGAGGCAGGATTTGAACGCCGGGAGTCAGACCTCGAGGCCAGAGCACCTGGCTGAGTGCCACCCCTCACGGCCGGGTCTCTGTGCCCCCTTTACCTGTCCTCAAATTACCTGTGCGGAGGGCTGGGCACAAATCATTACTCCCATTGAAGATGCAAGAACTGCCTGCAGTCTGTGTGACCGAGCCTCTGGGGGACAGATGTGTTCCACTCTCCTGTCGGGGGACTCCCCACCCACAGGTAACTAGTTCACCTGTCCCCAGGTACCTGCCCCAGGAGAAGGGGCTGGGTTAGTGTCTGCCTGAGGGCAGCCAGCCGGACTTGGGAGCCCCAGCCACAATCACAGCCTCGGGGAGGGGGTGCTGGTCACGTGTGGCTTCCCCCGATGCCTCCCCCAGCGATGGGGCAGACAGCACAGGGGTGTCCGCCCCACCCCCTGGTAATGTTCGGAGACCAGCAGACGCTCACCTGAGCTCCCTGCATTTCAGGCTCAGGACTGTAAACGTTTTCATAAAGCTGTTTTTGGTTTTTTTTTGAACTGCTTTATCTTCATTTGCTTAGGATGAGCCTGCATGGTGTTAATTTCCCTAGTGTTGTTTAAATAAATTGCACATATTTGCCACTATTTTAAAGCTGTGAGACATACGTAATAACAAAATCTGGTGAAAATCAATGCCAGACCCGGGCAGCCTCGGCCTGGAAGACGCACCCACTTCTCGGGGGAGAGATGTCCATGTGGGGTTATCAGTTACCCCAGTGGATCCAGCAGGTCATTCTGGATGTGCAGCAACCCTGGGCCCACTCAGAACGTGGCACCTAACACTGATGCACAATTACACGGATTCTAAGCAATGTTTCCATTATTTATAAATATTCCATATTTCCTAACGGATGACACCTGCTCGTTCCCAGTGTCGTCCTGAATTCTGTATTGCTGAGTAAATGCTGGCTGAGAGTTGGAGGACGATATGAACGTGACCTCTGCACTCCTGTAGCTAACAACTATGTATGCAGGTGTGTGCATACAGATGCATAAGGTGCGTGTGTACACATACAGACGCACATGCACACATATCTGCACACACGTATGTGTATATGCACACGCGTGTACATACGCACATGTGTGTGTTTGCACGTCTGTGTGCATGTTTGTACCATGTCACAATGTTCTCAAAACCAAACGCCTGGCATCGTGACAGGTTAGCCAAACCCCATCACTGGGTCATTACCGACAGCTCAGCCAAGCCAGAGGTCTCATTACTGGGGGGGTGTCGGGGAGAGTCTTGGCTGCTGAACTGGCCTCTGGATCCCACCAAGTTCACAACTGCAGATCGACAGGACAGAGAGCCCCAAGGAAATCATCTGGTCCCGCTGTCCTCTTACTGGGTATCCAAGAAGATGTGGTTAAGAGGTTAACTTCCTGGAGCTTGCAGACCCCTTCACGAGAAAGCTCCACAGAGCCCCCCAGCCTCAGCACGGCCAGATCCGGGCTCTGTTGTCCACACAGAGGCCGGGCTGCACCCTGGGCTGTGCCCCTGCTCCTAACCCCCACATGAAGTTTGCCCCTGGATGCACTCCTCTTCCTGGTGCCCTTACTGCTCGCCAGGGCTCAGATCCCATGTCCCATCTTCCGGCAGCCTCCCCACCGGACTCTCGGGAACCCCTGTGCACACGGCAGCTGGGGCAAGCTTCCCAGAGTGCTGCCTGTGCCCTCAAGTCCCAGAGCAGATCAGATCAGGCCCCAGAGGCCGCGGACCTCCATGTCGTCCTGTCTCTGCCCGGGCAGGACACCTCCCGCCCTGCCCTGGGGGCCGGGGCATTCTCTTGGCTCCACACCGTGGGTGCTGCCCGACCCAGGAGGTTGTAGGGCCTCAGGGCCACCCACCCGGCACAGAGCAAATGCAGTGGACAGACTTAAATGTCGGTTCCACACGTTTCCTAAGCACCAAAAAACAAGTGACCCTCAGCCTCCACCCTTAAGTGCTTGTGTGGAGTGGCAGGCCAGGAGCCCTGATGAGTGATGGCCGTCCGGGTCTCAGGGGAGACACGGGCCCAGGTTCTCTGCGATCTAGTCCTCAGGACGGCCACTCTCTCCACAGGGCAGTGATCAGCACAGAGCCAGGACCAGGCAGGGTTTAAACTGGCACCCAGGTAGATGCAGTTCAACCCATCTGGGGAGGGCAGAAATGCCTCATGGGGGATATTATACCTGGGCCGGGTACTGAGGGGTGGATAGGGGTTTGTTGTTGGGGGGAATGAGGCTGGGAGGGAATGGCCAAGGGGCGGGCTAGAAGGAGGACAGCACGGTGCCTCAAACACCAGGCAGAGTTCAAGGGCTGTTTGGGGCCTAGAAGAAGAGTGGGGTGGAGGGGCAGCAACCCAGGGTCGGCAGGGCTGCTCTCCACTGGCCCCATCAGTCTTCGTTTTGCCCCCTGCACCCCCAAGCCTTGGTTCCTCTTCTGTGAACTGAGGAGGCCCTTACCGGGGGGTAGTGTGGGTGATAAAGTGATGTCCAGGGCATTGGGCAGATGGTTGGGGGTT